AGTTGTTTATAGGTAGACACATTTCTAGCGGCCGGCGTCGAGCGAAAACTGGTGAAAATGTCTCCACTAACCTGTAATTAAATAGTCAAGAGAATATCGCCGTTACACGCTATTCCCCTCAATACCTTAGAGATAATTAAATAAGAGGCGTACAGCAGACGTGCTAGCTAAGATCAAAAACACGGACATTTGAAGATCGCGTCGATTCGGTTCTTCCTAACTCATGGTACCAACAGCAGCGGTTCATGTATTGATTGGATAGTAGTTCCGTTTGCACAGAAAGAGAGGTACTGGCAGACTTTGGTAATGCTTGATTGGAGAATAGTTGTTGGCCTAATTACAGTGCTGTGGTTATGCACATGTCACAACTGAAACGTCCCGTTCAGCGCGTCTATCCTGAGTGTGTGCAGTGTATTATGTAGTCGGATGCTTGCAACGGTTCGAAGGTGGTGGGTTAATATGACAAAATAACCCCACTTTGGGGGCGTTCCGTTAGGGCGACAAGGTGTTATTGTTTTCGGTAATCTGATGACGACGATACTGTCACGTCGATGCCGGCGACGCGTGCGTGCACGAGCCATAAGTACGCAAGCATTATATGGTAACGACGTGCTTTGTGTCTCGCTGTGTCGGTCATTCAGGATGACGTCACTTCAGTAGGTCAACAGTGACGCTAGCAGAAGCAGGGCACATGCAAGGCTTCGACTGCAATAACGAAGAAATTTTGACTCAGGCAATCGACTGACGTGCCGTGTAATAGTTATGAATAATGTAATTTTCATTCCCTGTACGGGTCAGCACCAATTTGGAACTAATCCTACCCGATTCCGAGGTCGTTAGAGAAGCTTGTTCGCTTTCATATGCATGCAGTATACTCCTTTGCGGCCTATTCACCTATTTACTTTCATATGAACAAGTCCTCGGAATTGCCTTTTTAGCAGCGAGAATCTGCCCCACTAGGAGTCTCGTGGGGTAGTTCTAGAAGTTGTGTCCCCACGAAGCCCTCCCGTAGGTATACTCAACTAGCAGCTGTTGTCATAGGCAAACTAACGTCAACTCAATCAACTTCTCGTCCTTAAGGCCCGAATGGTACCTAACAGCTAGTCTCGCATCAGACTTACATCAGACGGGGAAGTGGCACCAGATCAAAATTATATCCTTTCGTAATCCTCTGGCATTACTAACACGTCCACGCATGCGTTGTCGCTGAATAATTAATCAACAATCGTTATTATCTATCAAGCATCGACTTTTGTCCAATTTTTGCTCGGCGAATGCAAGTTTAGGGCGTTTGTATTGCGTTGTCTACTTTTAGTGCTACTATAATTTTAGCGTGAAAGCATGGGAAAAAGGTGCTTGATTTTCATGAAGATCGTCACCTTCCGGTTTCAGCAAGAAGCTTTGAAGGTCTCTTTTTTTCTTTTTGTTTTTAGGTCAGTGGTCGCTTAAGTGTGGCCTGCAACTTACTTGGCATAAAAAAGTAATACGACGACGGTCAGTTTCAGTTGTAGTTCATTCAGTCAAGTTATTTGATATTAACTACTGTTGCCCAGGTAAATTGCAGTTACTAGAGCAGTCGTTCTCTACCTATTCAGGTGGTAGATTACGCCTCCCATAACGCCCGAGTTCATAGGCTGGCCTCCAGCTGGTCTACGGTCGCTCCCAGTAATCACGTATCCGCCTACCTTCATATACGGCACATTGCTTTACGGGAGTTCAAGCTGAAAGTTTTTTCTGTACTCAGTCGGGAGTTGTTATTATTGTTTATGAAGCCTCAACGTATATTTCGCGTTCTGTCACGCTGCTGTATTGGATAAATGTTTATAGCCATTCAACACTATTAACTATTCGTTTTAATTTATACAACTAAACTGCCTGACAATCAACCAGCTCGTGTGGTTGCTTTCGTATCCAAACGTACCGTGTGTGTTTATTTGTATAAATGTAGACAGAAAATTCTACGTATCTTTTATTTATCATTGAATTTCTGTGTTGCCGGAGGCAAATAAACATAGGCGCGTTTGGGGCTCTTGACTTAGCGTACTATTCGCCCCTCTTTCGTTTATATTGCTTCGGTGTGGTCTCCACCTCCAGCCGCCGAGATTTTGCAGGTTGATTGCAGCCAGGGGCTTATAGCACTGCTCTGTGGCCCCAGCCAGACAGAATCTAGCGAGCAACTCAGGACGCAGCCTTTCTTGCTGCTGGCCGTATTGCTGCCTTAGCCCATCCGGTCTGTTTCGTCGACGTCGTCGCAGGCTTGGCCCTCCGGTTCTTTTCATATGGCTGCTCATCGCTATGTTTGCCGCTGACTGTGTCCGATATTCCGTCCCTGGCTGGCTGGATGGTTGGCTGGCTGGCTGGCTGGCTGGCTGGCTGGCTGGCGACGTTAGCTAGCTCGCGTCACTCAGCCATCATCACCAGCGGCATCAGTACAGGGGTTAAGCTGGTTACCGCCGCCGCTCGACAGCTTCTATGGCTACAATTCGCTGACGACTCAATAGTCGTCTGCACATCGGGGCTCAGCATAGCCATTCTTGTTCTTGCTGTTTTTATCAGTCTGTTGGTGTTTTAGACCTCCATCTTACCGCTCCTCCGGTCGGTCGAAGGCGACGATGTTGGTTTGGCGCTGCCATTGTACGCCGTGGCCGAGGAATCGAATACTGATATAAAGTCACCACCGCTGCTGTAGCAGAACACGGCAAACGGAACCACGCGGTACAGGCAGTAGTAAAGAACAGCCGGTAAACAGGTATAATAGATTTTATAGATAGATAACTAGATCCGGAGCGACACAGTTGTAGATGGGCAGCCCTAGAAACGGGCGGCGCGGTAACAGTATAGAGCCCAGGTTCGGCGCGAGTAGAGGGAAGCGTATTTATTCGTTACAATTATTTCTTATGGACGCGAGCTAACTCTTTGGGAAACATCTAGTTGTTGCAGGAGTTCCGCGGCCTCCTGCAGAAGCTCTGCAAACAATTATGGCAGAAGGGTTTATATATAATAAAGTTTTTTTCGAAAGTCGAACTTCCACAGCAGTACGTCACCATTTTGCAGGTAACTGGAAGCCATTGCCCTGCTAGTAAATAGTTGTCAGTGCAGAAAACTAATAATAGAATGGCCGGCTGCTAGCAACCGAATCATCAGCTGATGATCAGACATGTTTAATAGTCTATGCATCCTAAGACATTGATACGACGCATTAGGTTAATGCGAGGTAACAGGGTGACAAGGATGACGAAAAGGAAAGGCCGACTGAATGGCCAAGGCCTTTACGAAATGAGCATGGAAAAATTGGATCGATCCGAGACAACTGGACGTGGAGCTTTGCGAAGCATACATACTACTATTAACACAAAACATAGGCCATCCGTGTGTCCCGATAACAAAACGATCTAACAGCAACGGCGATCACTATCATTATAGCACAGACAATGCATACCCAATTGGTTTGGAGTTGTTTTGGATGCTTCACACCCTATCATCCATTGCCGTTTCTATGAATTAAGCAAGCAAATGGCGGACGAGGATCTGTTATATCTGAGAAATATTAGTCGGCGGTAGTGCTTGATCGGGTATGAGACTCCTCCATAGAAGCTGGCTATTCGACCATATGGTCTATGTTGCCGGTTAGGTGGACAGACCGTGGATCTGTTTGAGAAACGCGATATTAAACAAGATCATCATCGGTTTGCCACGATCCAGCATGACGAGTGAGCGCGTACGATGCGGTACGAATTTCATACAGGAAGAGAGGTTACCGGAGAAGAAGATTCACAATATCATCACTATTAAGCACAATAACGACAATAGCAGAACTAAACAATAGAAATAAACGCAGACAAACAGCATAGAACGATATGAGCGGTGTGATTTTCGGCTAACAACTTTCGAGCCTACCCCGTGTTTGGTATTATTCTATTTGACTTTTCATCGTTTGTTATTTTATGCGTACTTTCCATCGTTTTGAGGGTCTCGACAGTTACTGATTGAATGTAGAAACGGTACGTTACATGATAGCAGGTAGGTCTGAAGAACAAAGACTGCCTTTTTTGTCCATGTTTAATTGGACCGCTGCGGTACTGTGTAACCACACCTCAATCATTTACTTGAGAGATTTCAAAAACGTCTTTTAAAAGCTTTTCTTGCCCAGAACGGGAAAGCCGGACACCGACCCGAAGGTTTGTTTACAGTCAGTCTTTACTATATAAATGTAGACAATATAATTTTTTCTTTTGTTTCACACGAACGTCTAGGGGCAACAAGCGAAGACTTGAAACTTTTTTGGCCGCTTTCCTTCCTGTGCTTGTCAAAATCGATCACTTGACACGTATATAAACGATATTTATATAACCATCTAGTAGACGCTCATGTTGCTACTATATACACGTTAATGTATACATTTACAGAAAGCTTTAATTAACACGAAGTCAGCTTATCTGGATTTACCCATTACATATAATAGAAGAAGGACAGAGGACTAGAGTGTCTTATTCACGTCAAAACAGAACCAAATGGAGATAAATTGTGTGCACACGTAAAAGATCTGCCTTTGACGAACAAAGCAATAGCTAAAATATTATAATTACTAATAGTTCCATAATTACTATTGTTAAACTGATATTTATTTCTGAATTAAACAATTCAGAGAAAAAAACCCGCCATTTCATTATAATTTACGTGCAGTCTATGAAAGCTTATTGAGGAAATTACTGAAATATTGTTTAACGCTCTCCCCAAAAAAAAGGAAAGTGTTTTTTTTTCTGTTTTCTAGCTGATCGACGCGTTGCCTCTCGTTTGTATTGACAGCACTCTAAAATAAGCGATCCCGTCAACTCTATCGCCGACACCGAACATCCACTGCTGAAATCTATGGTCACTAATTAGAGAGAATTGAGAATGCAACCTTTGGGTAGGAAAATAGGCTATTGTTTGTGGACTGCGCAAACGAAGTTTCACTTACCCATCAGCTAACACTGGCCTCTTATATTTTTTGACTAAAGATGAAACTCTCTGGGCCCCAGCAACCCACCGGTTCAGTCTACCGTCCGTGGTATCGAGTAGACGATAAGCTTCCCATGATGAAGTGGAACAATGATGTCTTCAAGCTGAATGGGACATGAGAAACGAGGACGAAAAATTTTCTTGTAGTATCCCTATTGGCCATCTTCGTTTGCTCGTCTCTACCTGCTGCTATTTGCTAGCTGACACATATTCGATTGCCAAGGGGACGACAGTTAAAGGTGATCAGATGATGCGCGCTAGACGAGTCAAACGCGTCGGCCTTGACTGCAGCGCGGGCCATGTCTCTGCACTAATCCAGCGCTAGCAAGAAATTCGTCCGGATTCGTTTTGGAAAAGGACAGAAACATCACTCGGTAGTTGTGAGACGATCGCCGAGACGCAAGTCGAATAACGCAGAGGACAATCTAATCTGCTGCTGTCATCGTAACCGTAGTGCTCAGTGGTTCTTGGCTTCTCGTATATATACAACAGATAGAGTTGTGTGCTGAATGTATATATAGTGGTAGATGCCATAATCGTCGTGGAAAAAGCTCATAAAGGATCCTTGCCTCTACAGCAGGAAGTGGATAAGACATTACTGTTGAACAGTGACGCCGAGAACGGGCAACACTCGAAGAATCGAGACACCTCAGTCTTGTCGATGGACAGACGCAGCGTGAAGCGGAACGCTTAATGAAACTGGGCATTGTAAGATAACAGCCAAATGATGAGAAGTAAGAATAGAATTAAAAAAAAAAAGGTAAGGAATATCACCAAAATAATAATATGGCTTAGTGACGGTTGACGTTCTTATCGTTACCCGAAAAACTGTGTACTTCGGGTTATGTCATGAGACACTTCAGTAAAATTCCCATGCATTGCTAAAATATTTTTAACGGATATGTTTTTATTACTTAATTTTGGATACATGACACAACCAATTTGTGTCATCTATTGTTCTCCTACGATTAATTATTATTTAAGGACTTCTCAATTTTTTTTAACGCATATGTTCTACAAATAGATCCAGTTGGGACAACTGACTCTATAACGCATTAGCTACTATCGTTTTTAGGAGTCGCTTAAATATAGGTCATAAAATGAATATTTTTCAAGCGCTAACCTTACCTTCACAACGTGGGGCACTCCGTTCGAACCTCGTATGGGAAGATCAGAGCGGCCAGCAGGCGCTAGGCAAAGTAGGCATGCTATGAGCCATCTCGTGGTCTGAACCGGATCTGCTCCGAACAGCGGTATCTATATGCAATGCTACGATGGCCACTTTAATTTTCGACTAGGCCTAAATAGACCTGTAAGATAATAGCAGAAATGTCCGACTGTTTTTGTGTGCATGTACGTGCGTTACTATTGTACTTCAAAGACACGATTGTTATACAATACCACGCCAACGCACAACGTACAAAAACGTGTTGTCGTGATTTTTTAAGAAATGGCATTAATTTGCAGAGAAGTCCAGTTTACCCCTTAATTAAGCAGTTAGGGTAAACGTCTTTCTAAATGAACATTCTGAATGCGGACTACGATATAGAAGTATTCCTTAGAATCGGCCTATTTCACTTTAACTAACTAATGTGTACAACTCAATGTTACTAAGCCTTTCTCCAAAGATCGTTTGTACTCAGACAAACGCCTCTCATAAAACGCGCGTCTGCTTCCTCCACACCGACCTTCGCTGTGGTCTGTTTACTATTTGCTCTATCATTATGCGATTGTAACCCGATGTGCGGTAAGAAATAAGAGGCCACCCTGGGATGACCGTACCGCTGGGCCGATTTCGAGAGCGACGGAGGCCTCTCCGGGAGCAGTCCGCAGACATTCCCGTCCTGCTTCAGCATACTGCTGAAGGAAGAAGCCAGGAAGCTTCGCTTGTGAATATTTTCTCGTTTAGTTACCGGGTCGGAAGCTACGAGTGGGATAAGTTAAGCCGGTCAGCTGTCGTCGAAGGCTACCAAAATGCGTACGTGCGGATGCACGTCAGAAGTTAGGTGATTTGACTTCAACGAATATGATCTGTTGACAAAATTTAAGGACGGGGTTACGGGTGATTTGAGATAGGTGCTGAGTAATATCATCATAGTACAGATAATAACAGCTTCACCACTGACATTTTCAAGGCTCACGAGGCAATTTATAGACATTTGAATAGACGAATGTGTGATTTGGTTACTGTTCTATAAGCACAAACAATAAGCTTGGCCTATTGCATGTTCCATTGTTGACGCGCCCGGTAAAGAATGTACGCTACGTTGAACGTCTAGGCTACCGCAGCTGTTGCTTTTGTTGCGCTTTTAACTGCCTATAACAACTTGGTAACCTGGTCTTCGTAAATGAGGCTTGTTCATATGTGTATATATCTCTTAGCCTTTGATACCAAGAACTTGTAACAGACTTGGACACTTACAATTTCTGGAAAGAATAAAGGGACGTTATTGTCGCGCAACGTTGGCTATTCAGCTTCCCTGAGTGTCAATACTGATGAGATTTGTACTGATGCACAAGTTTATACGACTAAAGGGTCAGTAGGGATTCTGTTTTAAAATCCTCGTAAGGTTTCGTTTACTAAAAAAAAAAAAAAATGGGTTCTGTTGAAATCGGGCCGCGCTATCGATGTTAGATTTAACCGATATAAATTTTTAAAAGATTATATCAGTCATTGACCACACAGCTAAACAGCGACCCAAGGATGGCACTGTCGATCCTTATCCGATTCCTTACACCGCTTCGTAATTATAATTTTGAATTTCTTCCCTACTATTCGATAATTATCGCATTATTTTTTAAAATTACTGGCTCTATATTTTGATTTAATGCGGCGACTGTGTTAGGAAATAGCTCTATACCGTTTCTTATAGTACTTGCTATTACTGCAATAACCGCAGCTCTGTCATCCTAAAATAGAGGCTCGGCCTGCCTCAGCTACGAAGTGCAGAGAATAAACGGGAATTTTATAGAGATAGGAAGGCTTGTTGAATTTTGTGCCGATGTGGCCGCAGAGGCCGCCGCAGGCCACGATCACCGATGCCAAAATGGACGTTCTATATATGTCCTATTCAAGTGTCGGATCTTTGTATCTGGCATGTGTGTGTCTGGTGGGTGCATAAATGTTTGTCGGATCTTTCTTAACGGTCGCTGTTGGCCACAGATGCCAATGATAGTCACTCACTCGCTCAGAGAGTCGGCGTCGGATCACCACACCCACTCGCGCTGTCGACTTTCGACTTGTGGGTGCCTCTTTTTTCTAGAGCGAGAGCTGACTTGTTGCTGCCGTCGTCGCTGTTCTGCTTCATTGTGGACAAACCATATATACTTAGATGAATGAGCAGATTTGTCGCCTTTGAGCTAATGAGATGGGCATATGAAAGGGTCTAATTGGTACAGCTTGGCTATGGGAATGCGTCTTGAAAAGATCATAACAAAGCTGAATAGTGTCACTTTGCACTATGAGAATATCATCGCATAAATCTGCTTTAATCCCAGGTTTACGTCAGCCTGGATTTTACTGTTGCCTTTTGTACTTATACTGTTGTCTTAATTCGTCTCCTTTTTAGAAGGAAAGAGGGCGAACAGGTCTATTTAGGGCCTTATGTACATCGATAGCGCAACAGATCCTTTCTGCTCATATTATTGGCGGAAAACTGGACGAAGTCTACAACAAAAAAGCCGCTTGTGTCTCGCCTCCGAGTTTGCCTTATGCCTCGCCGGTACCACGGGTACGCCATTGCTGGTCCTGTTATTCGCCCGTCCTGAATAATGAACCGGAGAAACGATTCGTTCCAGCAGGAATAGGTTCGCGAACCGCGAATCAAGCCGCAAGCAGAGATGGCATCAATTTGATACGATGGCGAGAGATCTGAGACGAGATCCGAGCGATTTTTGCTACCGCTGATGCCCTGAGAGTCTTCTTCGCGGCTGACTGGCATTGCCAACTGCGTCTCCTTCTCCTTTTTCCTCGCTCGGCCTGCTTTATGCTGTATTCAAAGGTTCGCGTCTGCTTGCAGCAGTACGAGCGGCCAGTGAGCAGCAACCTAATCTCACAACATCAAGGCTGTGACTGTCTGTGTACGTGGGTTCGCACGTGTCTATCTGGGCGTTTCGATTCATTCTCGAATGTCTCTCACTTTCAGCTGAATCACGGAAATCAGTCTGCTAGAGAGTCGGATAGCTCTGGCATGATGCCTACAATCATGTCTCAAGGAGCCTCTACCTTGGCTGCGTTTCCGTCGCTACCGATTTCTGATACTACCTATTATTGGTATTAAGCCTGTTCTGGACGGCTTTTTTGCTTTGCAAATGTTGTCCTTTTTAAATATATGATCTGCATGTATTTACTACGAAGTCGCATTGCAAATTTCCACAAGTCCAGTGAACGACGTTGTATTTTTAGCTTGAGGTCGATCGCTACTCGATGCTGTTATCTAGCAACACTTAAACGACGAATGAACAGAGCTGCCGGTGGTGACGCTCTATGTACGCATAAACATACCGACTCATACGTAAGTAGATTTCGTGAGTTCGTGAATGAATAAATTTCAGAACCAGCTAGCCGTCGTTCGTCTATTCAGTGTAATGTGGCGCCTTTGTGCTCTTGGCAGTTTTGTCCTCTTCTCTACTTATTCATCCCTCCTTCGTTCGTGGGCTGAAGACGCGTTGCCGGCCCTGTTGTTACGCTCCTCAGTTACTATGGACATATCTTTTGCTGGCTTTCTTCTAAGGTGATTTGCACGAACGTGCATCGAATACATTCAATGGTACGCACTGAACGTCGTGTCTCCCGTTGGCTAAGGCGTTTTTTACTGGAACACATTGTTGTTGCCTTAAAATGCATATTCATATATCTTTACTAAATATACATCTCAAATAATGATATAGGAAATATATTAAAAAAAACACTAATAATAAAAACATGACATATCAAGATTCTGGCTGAAGAAAGCCAGCAGCCAAAAGGGATTACTGCTCCAACTGCCGCCAGCGACACATAAATACGATGTACCTTAGAAGGCCATCTTGTATACATATGAATACCCTTGTATGTTTTCCAGGACTGTTTTCGCTATTTGATAAATCTGTTGTACGGACGCCTGCGATGACGCGGTACGACAGAGACGTATGGTCTCTTGGAGAGTCTCTCAAATGATGAATTCTATTGTAACATTTGCATTATGGCTACTACAAGCCTTGATACGAACTCAGCGTTGGTCGAACACGATATAGTTAGAATAACAGGCACATCTTAAAGATGATGCGTTTACAAAATGTTGTATCTTCCCGTTGTTCGTAACAGATCTCGGCGAGCCAAATCTCACATATCTGACATGCCTTTCATGTTCCGAAAAAAAAACAAGTACGAAAAAATGTCTTCAAAGATACCGCTGCGTGCACCGTTCTATCGCATGTTAATTGTGCATTATTTGGTTAGAAATAGCTTAAAATAGTACGGTTTCGTGACGGTAGAGTCACACGACGACCAAAGAGTAAATATTTTTACAACAATAATAACAAGGCTTTTTTTTTTTAATTGCGTCTGTATGTGTGTGTATTTTATTAAAGTTAATCCCTCTACAAACTAAGCAGGTGTTTTTCTGAGCAGCAGGTAAATGTTTGTTAATTTACCTGGCTCGGCTACCAGAAGGCGACTGAATACCACGATAACGAGCTGTTTTTCGTTACTTTTTTTTTTGCTGTAGCTTTTCTGATATTGCTAAAGCACTTTGGGGAGAGACGAGTGAGAGCGGCAAC